TAATGTATAATCGTTTTTACGTTATTTTTACATTTACATTAATTCTGTATATATTGTATTTCGCAGAAATAGTTGAACACCTTGAAAAATGGGCTTATTTGATAGGTTGAAAAATTCCCTGTGAAGTATTTAGTTGAAGTCATTTTTTTATCTGCTTAGCTTTGCACACATGTTGCAAAACAAGGAAAATAGTTTTCCTGGTTACGTCCAAAGTTTGAAAAAATACAGGCGAGCAGATCTACAGCTGATGAAATCCTACACATACATTTAATTAGGTACATGTAGCTGCTGTAAGAACACAGTTTGTGATTTTGGTGAGACTAACATCACTATTTTATTGACTTGTTTATACCTACCCACACTTTATTCCAGATTTGGCTGGTGAGCAGAGATCTCTGTAAAGGTGTGTTAGTGTCATACAGTGATGAAACAAATCTGTGAAGTTACTGTGTCCAGCTGTTTTGCTAAGAAGTGGTCACAGCATGTGACTGAAGCAAGATCCTGTCATTTTGTGAAATTAAACAAATGAGATGGCACAAAGTGAGGGGTGAAAATTAGGTATTTATTTTTGAATAGCCTGTTTTCCTTTACTTCCAGTATTCATGTTAAGCTGAGCTAATGAACATCATCTCACGCCAACTACAAACCACTGAACTACAGTGTGAACTCCTGTGTGCAGGTATGACCCTCAGACAGATGTATGGACAGCTGTGGCTCCCATGAGCATCAGCAGAGATGCCGTAGGTGTTTGTCTCCTTGGTGATCGTCTGTACGCTGTGGGCGGGTATGACGGCCAGGTGTATCTCAATACTGTGGAAGCTTACGACCCTCAGATAAACGAGTGGAAACAGGTACTGTATGCAGACACGTGCACAGCACAGCAAATCTGTGTCTCTTTAACCTCATTCACTGCATTTTGTGTATTCACAGCACTTCACTTGTTCCACATTTTGTCATGTTCCTGTCTCAGAGGTCCATGGACCATTAGCCTGGTCTGTGCTCTGACACTGTCAACTATTTGACCTTATATAGACAGGTGTGTGCATTTCCAAATCATGTCCAATCAACTGAATTTCCCAAAGTGGACTCCAGTCATGCTGTAGAAGCATCTGACCGATGACCAGTGGAAACAGGATGCACCTGAGCTCAGTTTGGAGTGTCATTGCAAAGGCTGTGAATACTTCTGTACATGTCATCTTTTTGGAATTTGAAAATTTAATTTAATTCAGTTTGGAATAAGACTGAAAGTATGACAAAATGTGAACCAAGTGAAGCTTGAGAGTATCCAGAGAGGGCATCCAGGTATGAACACTCACACACTGATTGCAGTTCAGTAAAAAACGTGTAGTAAAACACAAATGTACAATCAGTAGATGAAATGTATAAACACTCAGTCACAGTTTGACCTTCCCTCAGCTCCTCTCCGATGTATCTTGGCATGTTTTCATTGTTATGTAAATGTGTGTTTTCCTCCTGCTAATCTTGTCCTTGCCGCTGGATATTGCCGCTCAAAGTTGAGTGATCTCATTCAGCGGCTTTCAGGAGTCTCTGCCACTCTTCAGTTTATACCCCATCTCCCACGTAGGCTCAGAGGATTTCCAACTTTGGTTGGCAGATTTTTCTGTTAAAATTTGCCATTTTAGAGACAGGCACCATGCTGAGAACAAGAGAGGTGTGGGAGGAAGGAAGCAGAATGCATTGAACTGCTCAGACTGGCAGGGAGGGACGAGGACAAACTCAGATGAGAGAAGAAATGCTGAGACCATTAAATATGTCCTGTATCTACTGTCAGAGACTTAAACAAACAAATCAGTTGGTGTATTGTCAGTGCCATCCTAGTGGCATCACTTCCACTCTTGGCTTTGGCACAAATCTGTCAGTCTCAATAATGCCAAATCGAGTAATATAGGTGCTAAAAGGAGGCTCAGCATGGTTTGTCTGTGCAGTAACAGTGATGTCAAACATAAACACTGATGCCTTCTCTTTGTTCCTCTTTTTTTATTATTATAAATTATGTGGAAATGAGTCCGCTTGTTCAAAATGATATTAGAAGAAATTACCTTGGCATTTCGGCATAAAAACCTGTCAGCTGGTTCAGGTGGTTGACTCATGTCTGCTGCTGCAGTTACAGCTTCACTGTGTTCCCCTGAAACTGTGCTGTCACCACTTACTGATGCTCTTTAAAACCTCCACCTCCACTCGGTTATCATCGTCACTTTCTGCTCCCTGCTGGGCTCACTGTTGATATCAACAGCATGCATTCCCTGCAGTCACATAATAACCCATTTCCTTCCGTTCACTTTCAGGACCCGTTTACTCCAAATAACTATGATGGGTTATTTCCATCTGCAGTCAGTTTTTGTTTGGCAGCATCACTCTATTCTGGGATCTCCCTCCCATTCGGTGCATTTACAGTTCTGGTCAAAAGTTTACGTACACACATCACTGGTCTGAGTGTTTTTTAAAGTCATTAAAGATGTATGCTATACAATCATTGCACCCTGGAACAAGAACAGAAAGAAATAACGAAATAGCCCAAAATTATCGTGGCCATGAGTGTACGTAAACTTCTGAGCACAGCTATACACACAAGTCAAGTCAAAAATAGCACGATAGGGACACCGTAGGTTGCAAAGAGGCTTGCAGAGGCAGCAGAGACTGCAGCTGAAGCATCTTAAAAGTAAGCTCTGGATGAGGTTTGATAGTAAAACTGAAATTGGCTGCCACTGAGATCATCCATCACCACCTAATAGATCCAGACTGTGGAGAATAGCACACCTAAAGCAGCCAACAAAGTCATTTCAATTCTGTTTAGCTTTTTTTTTTTTCTCAAGCTTTAAATTATATCAAGTAGTCTTCATTAGTAAATTCGGCGTAGTCAAGAGAGTGCGCGCCTGTGTATCAGCACGTGTGTGCTATCCATCTGTATATGTTAACAAGGTGCTTATAAACTTTTAAGTCAAACAGGATATTATCATTCCCATAGAGTCATGTTTCTAGTTTGTTTTTTGTTTTTTTCTGGTATTGACTCGTGTTTTGGGTGGTAAAGTTTGAAGGTTGGTGGTTGGATTCCTGGCTGCTCCAGCCTGCATGCCAAAATATCCTTGAGCAAAATACTGACCCCTACAATCAGAACCCAAAGTCCCGATGCATTGATTGGAGTGTGATTGTGTGTGTGAATGTTAGATAAAAATCACTTGTTAAAAAAAGTGCTCTTTGAGTAAGTAGATTGCTGTATAAGAATCAGTCTATTTCCCATTATTTTGGATCACTACCCTCGGGCACGGGGCAGATATTCTGCTGTAGATTTATTTACAGCATTTGTACTCAAAATTTTATTGAGCCAAAATCAATAAATTTGTTCCCCCAAAAGACTAAAATGAAATTAAATAATTGCTCAAGTGAGCTGCAGACCATTTAAAAAAATATAGCCGTATCCCATATGTATCCAAATTTGCAGTCTTTACATTCAACGTTTTCAAGACTATGAAACAATGCAAGTCAGTAGTTTAATAGTAATTTTCAGTTATATAAACAATCCACATCTCTGACTGTGTTCCTCATGTTTTTCCTGTTATCTTTGCAGGTAGCACCTCTGTGTCTGGGCAGGGCAGGCGCGTGCGTGGTGGCTGTCAGACTGTGAAAGCACAACCTCACATAGTAGATGGCAGACTGTTCACCATATGGCTCGCAGACCCTCCTCTTTGCCATCGCCGACACTGCTGGGGACACCGAGAGGTCTTTCCGGCCACACCAGGAAACTGTTTGCGAACACTCTTCAGCAAAGACACATTTTACTCTGCGTAATGCCGACTAATCCTTCAGATTTTAGGCAGATTAGGGTTCAGGTACATGTCAGTAGCTCTCCGATAAAGTTCTCACGTCCCGATACTTTGTGCCACAGAAGTGAACTGCCAGAAATACACATGGCAGAGAGGAAATCTGCAGTGTTTATCCGAGCTCGACAGAACAGCTGTCCCACACATACCGTACGTGCACGTGTAAATCTACACGGCTGCTTTCAGCTCCCATTTGTGCTGAGTAAAAAGGTGGAAGACAGAGCGAGATTGTCAAAACTGCCTCATCACGTTACGCTCTTCGTTTCTCCAAACAGTATCTGATGCTGTGTACTGATGCTATTTTAAGATAGTCCCTATTATTTTTATGCTGCAGTTGGCAAGTGCTCTTCTTCCCCTTGCTTTTTCCCACCGTTACCCGCCGACAGATGAAAGAAAGACTTTTGACATAATCAGCACACCCTCACGAACAGCGATTCTGTGAGGAACTACAATTTTCATGCAAAAACATTTCATGCTTCATCAAATATTTCTGCGCATATGTCTTCCATGTTGCATCAGCTCACATCTGAAGCCTCTGCAATGCTGCGGTATGAAGTTTATCTCAGCTTTTTAATATTTTATTTTTCTTTAAGTTGCGCCAGAAGATTGTCCAACTTTTGACTTCGTTATTTGTTTTTAACTGCCATTTTTGCACAACTCTAGGTCCATTAAGCAGGATATTTGGGTTTGAAGTGTGTGTGTGTGTGTGTGTGTGAGATGATAATGGTGATAACACTGTGATCCTTTGTTGATCCCTGCAGGAAAATTTTGTTTTCAATTTCCTCCAGACCACAGGGTCAGCTATTTACAGACAGGGTCTGTTCAGCTACCGTATTTTTTCCCTCCGCTGTAGAGGTTTCTTCATTTCCTGTGTGTGTGTGTGTGTGTGTGTGTGTGTGTGTGTGTGTGTGTGTGTGTGTGTGTGTGTGTGTGTGTGTGTGTTGGGTGCTAAGAAATTGCAAGGAGTATATTTTTATCTCAAATGAGAATCTTCCCCTCACCACATCTTCAATTCCCTGCTGCTTTCTCTTCATCCCCGTTTTCCCACTTCATCACCGCACGAACACACACACACACACACACACGTTTGCTTGCACCGCTTTGCTTTAGAGCCCAATTTCAGGCCCAGAAAAATGAACAACAGACCATATAATGAGACCGTGAATTTAATAATGTTGATTCAGCCGGTGCCGATATTTTGTTTGATGTCGAGTTCAAAGCGTTATTGGATTCGATGCTACTGTAGACAAAACATAAGACATGAGGGGCAGATGAATGCTGTGGAACAAACTGTGGGTCAGGAAACGTAAGGAATGCAAGGTTCTGACAGCAGATTCCCTACCGGCACACGGCACAAAAATTTCATGCTGCATCCTTAATTGTGCATTTCCTGTCTGTTTCCTATTGGTCATGTTGTGCGTGTGTGTGTTTGTCTGTCTGTCCAGTGCAGAGCAAGGAAACTCCTGACAGTGAGAGGCAAAACAGGCTTCCTCTCTGAACTGACAGATGTAGGGCTAATGTAGCCCCCAGGATGCACTTTACAAACACACACGGACATATCGCACACACACAAAGACACACTTAACCACACAGCTGAAAGCCATGCGCCCCAGGAGCCGGTGAAGACTGAAAAGCCGCCCAAATTTGCCAGCTTGACATCTAAAAAGCGGAGACGCGAAGGCTCTCAATTCCCCTCTGCCGAGCTGATGTTTATTCAAGCCTAATGCACTGCTGCATTATTCTATTTTCTCCCCCACCCTCGCTTGCTTCTTCAAACCTGCCTGGTGTTTATTTAGAGTAATTCTCTTCAGATCACAGCAGAAGAAGTGTGTCATCTCCACTGTGTCGTATGATTTCAGCAAGAGGTTAAAAATAACATAAAACACATTCCAAATCTAACTATAACTGTATATTATGTACATAAATAAATATAAAGTCTGAATGTAGTCTTACTGCATTACGGTGTCTATATTATACACTTCCCACTGAAAATGCTGTGTGTTATTGTGTTTTGTTTTTTGTAACATGAATTCAGATGATGAAGCGATGTAATAAAAGCGGTCAGTGGGAAACTGCACAGCTGCTCGTCTTTTACAAAATACATTATGTATGTACAATATATGCTGCTGTAGCTATCATTGGTCTTTTATACATTAAAGTCAAGATGTGATTTACCACTTCCCGTGGCTTTTTCCCTGCTCGACAGAGGCGTTTTAACAGCAACAGCTAATCATGTTTATGCTACAGATGTTGCAGCTGGCAGTTTGCGTTTGTCACATTCACAGTAAATGCCACTGTGGTGTAAATTTGGCTCTTATTTCTAACAGCACCCCCATTGGTGCGACTCCAGCCAAGGCCCTTTGCAGTTCAAATGTTTCTGTGCAGGTTTTTGGCTGCTGAAGTGCAATTCTGAATGTATTTTCATGTGCCTGGAGGTTAATATGGATCCTCATTAGTCTTAAGTGCAGCTCCTCAAATGTAAAAGCTAAACACTGAACCAGAGACACCACAGCTGTTTGAGGCAGAGTGGAACAAGTGTGCAGGGAGGAGGAATGGGGGCAGTTTATAGATATTTTAGCCTCAGGACAGTGACCAGTAGGCAAGTGATTCACTCTGATATTTATTGCAGAGGAAGCTTTAAATCATAAGTGCTTCTGACAAACGACTCCCGGTGGCGTTCAGAGATGATGCTGGTGACCTTGTCTTGCCGCCTTACTGCACCTGAGTCTATTTCCCCTGACAGCAGCAAGAGGGAGACACAAAGTGGTCTGCTTCATTCTGCATCCTACACTTGGAAATAACCGGTAAACACTTACATCTGTCAACATCTGCATCAACGCAGAAGCAGAATAAAGCAGATATGCTGTGCAGTCAAGCGCTTGTGAGACCCACAAAACTGTATTTTTAATTCTAGTAAAGACTCTAAAGTTTGTGGAGACTGACTGGTGTGAGTGTGTATAAAAAGTGTGTATAAAATCCTTTATGTGGCGCCCAGTAAAAGCACTATATGGCTTCAATAAAGAGCTGGAACAAACAGAAGGAAATGACAGATACTGTGAATTAAGAGCAAATTTCCTCGTCATTTTGGGGAAAACAAATGGGAAAAGGTGCGTTCATTACTGATGGTGTCATCACTGTGCTGGCACTCGTGCAATCCCTCATCCACAAACGCTGTCATCACTTTGCGGCAAACTCGATGTGTAAATTTTTACACGTGTTTGTTTTGCCTACGTTTTAATTGCAGCTTTGAGAAAGAAAGTGTATGAGTGCACTTTGTTGTGTTAACACTGTCAGAATATTGATTTGCAGACTAAAAATTCATCATAGATGTTTACAAGTCAACATCATGGTGACAGTTTTGTCACAGTTGTCGCATTTGGAGCTTTTAAACCACCACGGGTTGAAATTTGACTGTTTTCATATCCGTGATCACTGGGGCGAGAAAAATCATCAGCTGAAGATTATGAGATGCACTAAAATAAAAAGCTCCTTAGGAGGATCTCAGTGGTTACTGACGCGGATCTGTCGACTGCCAAAACTGCCTCCTAGTATCCAACACACACAGGGTGACTCCATCTTGCATGTGTTGTGTTTGGATTGCTCTGTATTCTGGTTGTGTGGTCTTGATAAGGGCTCACTGTATAGTCTAGGACTGATTCTCAGTTTCAAGATTGTATGTAGCATGATTGCATGTAGTGCTGTAATAATGCCTTTTATCTTTTATCAGTATTAATAAATGCATATACAGCAAAAGAGAAATAGGATTGTCGTGCAGGGGTAGCCCGAGGTTCAGTACCAATTAACCTGCCAAAAATAGAATATTTAAGGAACTGCTCTCCTGCAAGGCTCCTGTGCTCTGCTAGACACTGAATGCCTAGAAAGTGTGGAGAAAAAAATAATACCACAGGATTGACAAAAACCTCCAGGATCAGATTTGTTTAAAAGAAGGGGGGAAAAAAAAAAACTTAAAAAGAACATAAAGATATTTCAAAGTATCTTTTCAGGGCAACTTGTAACACCTACATAAAACTTGCATGATTCCTGGAGGGCAGAAACATATTCATTTGGGATTTTTTTGTGAAAGAATAAGGAGGAAGGAGCAGAAAAAAAATACCATGAGAATCTCATTTCCTCCGCAGCTGCAACGATGGAAAGCTGAAATGGTTCACATAATAAAGGAAATAAAGGAAGTCATTTTCAGTGATTATCTGTCAGCTTTCACTATGTCATATAGACCTGCTTTCTTTATATTTCGTAAAGTGCAGCAGTTCCTTTTTTCTTTCTATTAACGCACCGCATCCTGCATAAAAGCTCTGCTCGCATTGTCTCGTTGGCAAAAACACTTTCATTCATTTTTCATCAGCTCGTTTTTTCATCTCTCTCTGCTCTAATTTTACCATTTTGCTTGAAAATCATACAGCTGCTCCCTTCAGTGCATCTTAATGAGATCTGAGTCAGCAGGGTGTATTCTGCTTCAGCATGCCAGAGCACAGACAGGAATATTTGTGTCACACAGCTGGCATTTCATCCCAGCTCTCTGCCTGGGTTGTACACGGATCATCAGAAGGTCATCAGCATTTTCTTTCTGCCTATGGGCAAAATGAGGTAACACAAGGGAGGCAGAAGTTTCTCCTAATTTATATCGGGTGGGTCATTCTGTAAAGCACTGAGAAAAGCACTGAAATTGGTTAACTTCCAAAAAGGACATCAGTGAACACCCTGAGGACAGCAGAAATGAAATGGGACAAAGATATGCAGATAGGCATGCCTGGAGAGTAGAAAGAGATGTTCTTTAAAGAAACACTATGAAAAGCTGCCACCTGCTGGATCTGTGGTGAAAGCATGATTTCAGTTAACTTCAGGTGGGCTTGATACTTGTAACAATAATGCTGCTTGGAAAAGGTGAAAACTGGCCAGTGGTATTAATTTGTGGTGTTACTTACATTTTCTTTTTAAAGCTGCAAGTCTGTATTAAACAGTTATGCTGTGAATATCCTCACCTAAGAATCAGTACTGTTTACTGTTTGGTTAGTCCAGCTAGTAAGAAGTTTTTACTCTAGAGATCCAAGTCAGTGGAGTTATGATGGCTGAAGCAAGTTTGTGTTTGCAAGCACTGAAGGGCAAATTTTGCTTAACCTACTTTTTGGATCTGAGAGTTTAATTTGTATTCGATGTTTTGTGATGTTTCGAAAGAACTGTGTCTTTGCATAAAGGGATGGAAGGCCTTGGTGTTCCCCCATATAAGCTGGAGGAGGTGGTTGGGGAGAGGGAGGTCTGGGCTTCTCTGTTTAGGATACTGCCCCTACGATCCGACCCAGATAAGCAGAAGAAGAAGGATGGATGGATAATAACAATTTTTCCATGCCATTTATTGCAGTTGATTAGAAAATCCTGTCAGAACTGAAATGAATTGTTTTCTCTCTCATGCTATATGCAATGCTCACTTTCTACCTGTTTTTTTAAATAATGTATTAATTATATTCCCGGAGCAAATGAAATACAGAGAGACTTTATGTTGGGTGATTTAGCTTTGTCCATTGGTTCAACAAACTTTGAAATCATTTTGAATCTGGACAATGATTCTTGATTGTGAAGGAGATCCTTCACAAGAGACAAGGTGGAACATTTAACTTCTGTATTTTTCATTGCACTTTTAACTGTAACACCCACTCACTTGTCGAGCCCTGATTAACTCACGCTGATTTTATTGTTTGGACTTCATCATTACAAGATCACATGGGCAGGTAGGAAAGCAAGAACAGTCCTCATCCTATTTTTGTAATATAAGCAGACAATTATATAGTGGAACATCCACGATGCATATCAATATACAATTGTCATGCCCCTAAAAGTACAGCGTATTTACGCTACTTAAATATGCTACGTCCAGATGAACAGAATCAATTTTTGGAGATTTACTTACCTTGATGATTGAGCCTGCATCAAGACGGACAGCGTGTTTACATTGTGAACAGGAGAACTTCCACAAATAATCCCCTATTTAAAATAACTTATAGTATAATTTGTGTGTCCTTTCATGTAAAAATGCCTGAACACCTTACACACTACTTAAAATGACTTACTCACTATTTAACATTTCTTAAAATATAATTATTTGTCTTTTCCTGTAAAGCCTTAAATTATTCCCTCTTATTTTAGTGCATCCACACCGTTTGTTGCATGCTATAATATGAAGGGCAACCAGTAGGCCTACATATCTGTTCTGAGATAATGCCCAGAGCATTAAAATGATTGGCTGCCAAAGGCTAAATTCACATGCGGAGAGACATATTTCAGTTCCTTCGGCTTTCTTCGGTGTCCATTATTTAGTAATCTGTGTTTTATTCTGTGTATTAAATATAGAACAAATCCATATTAAACAACACCCACTGTTAAATATGAGACCTCCTCTTTATCTTTTACATCTTCTTTTTACAGTGTTTGCTTGAAACCTGTTGATCGCTCTAATCTGTACAGAACCTCATTGGCTGCTGACTGTTGCCATGACAGCGCCAAACCGCAAACGCTTCAGAGTGAAGGATTGTGGGTAATACATACACATATCTGTAAATCTGAGATGCTTTGAGAAGTGAATACCTGTCCTTTCCAATATTTAACGACAAAACAGCATCGCGATGAAGGTTTGTACCAATAAATTAATTTTATTTTCGTTCACTCATTCCATTCGTTCCACACGTTTAGCTGGATGCTAACTGCGTTTATTCACCTCCTAGAAACCAAGCGTTAGCCAAGTGTTAGCTGAAGACAGACTGAACGTCGACCAAAGTCCACTAAAAATGTGTGTTGCGTTGTGTATTATCCAATAATCGAACAAACGGGCTGTTTTGGCAAACATAGTCACAGTAATGATAACAAAAATCTCTATACTCACAGCTAAAATAATATTACCCATAGCACCTTTCTCCTTTGTCACCCGTCTTTTTAAACAGCGTTTTTTGTGCGTTTTTGTTAAAATATTTTAGGTTGCTGAGCTAATCTTTGTAATGATAACGCAGACATGAGTTTAGGCTAAGTTAAAATAAGTTAGTTGTCACTTTTCTGTTTTATAAGTAACTTCTGCGGGTGTATTTTGTTGCATCCAGTACATGGGTATGTTGTACACCTAGCTATCTGGCACATGTTTTGATATAGTTTGATTAAGGAGCTTTCTAGA